TTTATATTTTCTCTATTTTTGTAACAAAATAGCAATTTAAAATTTAAAAATCTTTTAAAAAAATTACATCACCTTCAACATGGAAGATCTCACTGTTTAAATATCCATGAAAGAGACATACTTGTTTGCATATCTGTTTTGGAATTACATTGTACAGCAAATAATAGTATCTCAGAAGCACTTCAAAAGTAATAGAAATTCATATTTACAGAATGGTCTTGGTATAAAATATACAACAATCATATTTATGTCTAACATTCTAAGTTAAAGTTAACATCAATAGGAAATAAGTTAAGGTGACAAAGGTGGTCTGGTTCTTGGGTCCATTCACTTCGAGTTGCAAGTGAAACAAAGCATCAGTCTAATCCTAGCTACGAGGTGGCACTGGCTACAGGAAGGTACAGAAACAGCCAAAGGAAACTAAGAAAAGACTACTTGACTGTTTTTCTACATACATTCCTTTACATTTGAGTATTAAATAGATGTGTAAGATCTTCCATACTGACACCAGAATATCAAAACTAACCCTTGGATTTTCAGGTATGTATTTACAACATAATTATTTCATGGACAGGTTCATTAGGAGAGATATCAAACACCAATATTTACTTAGTCTAATCAGTAACCCTCAGGGAAATGCCAACCCCCACCCCCCAGAAGCGTGCACAAAACAGTTATCAAAATCTTACCCGACCACATAGCTGTGATTTTGTAAAATAACAACTCAGACGACCAGTAACATGATCCTCTTTAAGCATTTTGCTAGCAGGAAAAGCCCTTACATGCAGTACACCTGGTGAAAGATCAGCTTGGCTTAAAATATTCCAGTACAATTTTCAGCGTAAACAACTTCACAGAAGTTAATAAAAACATAAAAAAAAAAATGTAAAACTTGTCACAAAGAAAAGTAAGAGGACAAACAAGAAGACAGTAATCATCAGGAGGGAGAGTCCTGCTTTCTTTTCCAGAAGAAAAATATAAAGTGGATTTTTAAGCTTCTCAAAAAAACATGCCCAGGGCTCTAGTTCATGTGTATTTATGAAAATCAATTTTCAGTTGACATGTCTACTATGATTCTCAATCACATCTTAACAGGGCATAAATTCATACACTTTTCAGTACTCTGAAGGTCAGATAATGCTCTATTATTGTATTTTCAAGGTCTTTGAAAATAAGTTGCCACTGAACAAGCAAAAATTAAACCTGAATACAAAATCATGATTAACAACATTTAACAAAGGTAATACAACCGCCTTAAATTCCCAATATTTAGTTTAAATTAAAAACAAAACAGTACAAAACCAGCAATACCATCTTGTTAGTCAGTGCAAACACTACATACAGGGTTTTCAAAGGAAAGCCAAGAGCACCTGATACTTTTTGCCAAGTCATCTGGATTCTATAATCTCCAAGTGGAGAACTATTAATAAAAAAGAAGAAAAAAAAAAGAAAACCCAAAACTGCTCTTACATTAGTGCATAACCTCTCAAAATGGTTCAAAATTGTTCCGCATGTAACTTGGGGAAATCAATACCTAGTACATTAGCTGGAGGACTTAGGCACTTGGTTTACTTCTGATAACTTTACTTGGACAAGTAGCCTGTGTATGTGTCTCTACAGTACTAAAGCAGAAACTGGGGGGAAAACTGGAGAAAAAAAAAAAAGCTGCAGCAAAGCACTGCACCACAGACCTGCAAATAACGTAGCAGTGCAAAGCTAACGGCGTGTTAACCCTGTAAAAGTCTCAAGTCCAAATCTCCACCTCTCACTCTTCAAACAGGAAACAATACTCCATGCAAAGTTCCACAACTAAAGAAAAAGCAGCTGCAACAAGACACGAGTTCTTCTCTCATGAAACAAAATAGAGACAAATAAGTTAGTCTTCCTTTCACTAGATGTATCATCGTAGGATCCTGCTAGTTTAAATAACTGAGTTGTTAGTTTTCTACAGAAGCCATTTTAAACAAGAATGGCTCAGATACCGCACCGGATTGCTACAAACTCATAAAAAGCTGCTTTAAGCTTAAGTAAAACAATGTCCAAATTCCATTCATTTGTGGAAAGTGAACGCCTTACTCTAGTAAAGTAAGTTTTTTTTTTTCTTCAGAATGCTAATGCGAGAGGGGCTTGAAGTATCAAAGAGTCCACAGGAAATGCATGACCCCAATATTATTTTTTTTAAAAAAAATATACATTATATAATATATCTTATATATATAAAAAGCTAGTGTAAATGCTTCCATGGTGTGGTCACAAGCTGGAAAGATGAATGCCTTTCAGCTGTTAACCATCCTGCCATTTGCAACAGGCTTTAAAAAGTCGTTTTTATCCTCAGACATAATGTGAGCAGTTTTCAAAATGAGGCTGCCAACACTGACTGATGTGCTGATGGGCAGGCAGCTTGCATTGCTAACAGATGTTGTGATCGGCTGACTGAAGCAAGAAGTTACGGGCAGGATTGTTTTCTGCTCCTCCCTGAGGAGAAAAATAAGTTACACAAATATTAAACGAGTACATGCACAAGTATCCGGAACTGAATTGTGTGCATTAAATAAATACTGACATAAACTCATTTTTAGCAACAGGCTAAACATCTTACTATGGAACGGTACGCTCAAGATGTTAAATGCAGTCTGCCTCATTTTCAAAGGCTGCATTGCACATGAAACACTACAGAACATACAAACCTAAAATAGTGTATTTTAAAAACTACCTCTCAACAGAGATTTGTGCAAACAGTATCACATTTAACCTTTTGAAGTTTTTCTTAATTTCTGTTACCTATAAAAATACTTTTGCATTTTTTGCTTACTGAATGTGAAAGGTATTTTTAACAGCTGTGACACGTTTCAGTATATACAATTACAACAACGCAAATGAACAACGGTACCATCCTGTGACTTTTGTATTTGTGACCTAATTCTATTTCTTAACAGGTTCTTCTCACTTCACCACATATACACAATGCAGATGTCTAATCCAAGTCTGAGCAGGTATGGAGTTCACCCTTAAACAATCACACTTCAGCTATTCTGATGCTGCTGTTTGTCTAACACTGGCAGACACTGCTGTTTTGTCTAACACTCACAGAATCACAAGGTCTTCACCTAAACTTTGTCTCTTCTGTTCCATAGATTCTTTCTGGTGCTGCTTTAGCGGATGCCCATTCTCTACAGTTGTTCCATTGAGCAGCTGATCATCTTGAGAACTAATACCTAGCTGTATATCCAGAATCTCCTACAGGAGAAAAGGAGAAACGTCCATCAATACTGTTGCTACCAGCTTTAAGTTTTCCTGTTATGTTCCACTATATAAAGCTGATGGAAATGGGAGTCTCGTCATAAGACTCCTTATTTTTATTTCATACTATTGGAATATCTACCACATTTTACTATAGGAAAAAGGAAAAAAACAATTATTCAAAGATGGCAGTGAATGACAAGAGCAGTGTAAACATCAGTTTCTAAAAAAGGGTTTATGAGGTGAGATACGAAGGAGGCAATAAAGACAGTGAGAGCTGTTTCAATAATTAGAGGTAGAGGAAAAGCAGAAGATGAAGGTCCCTCCATTCATGTAAGGGCAAGTCATAATTCATACTACAGTACTGCATCACATACCACAGGCAGAGCAAACAAAAGCTGTAGCCAGTACTGTAAGCCAGTACTGGAATGTATTTAGAGTATGTTCCAGACAAGAACCTTAATTTAAGCGTACGATGCTTTAAAAAAAGGATAGTTGATCCTAATGTCTGGCATGAACACCAGAATGTTTTATGACTGCACAGCAAAGAAGAAAACAGCACAGAAGAAACTGGGGTAGATGCAGAGAATTAGAAACAATGAAGTAGTAGTGAAAATGAAAGAACACTGGATTACAATAATTTAAATTACTTCACTATTATAATAATCAGGTGAGCACAGAGTTTAAATTAAATGATCACATTTAAACGTAAACTTCAACGCAAAACATTCTTAACTACAGTTTCAACACTGGAGGGGAAGGGGAAAGGAGTGGACTCCCCATCATTACTATTCTATCAAAAGACAAAGAGCAAAAAGATGAAAGCTACGACAAAACAGAGTGAGCTGTTTTCAACTTTGGTAATATTCACTGCCAGGTATCTGCATGAGAAGTATGAGACCCCTAGTGTTAACAGCAGGCAAATGTTTGATAGCCCTACAAAGACTAAAACCAAACGGCTTTGCTATCAAAAGAATCTACTAATTCACAAATAAATTTTAAGTTAACTAATGAAAGGATTTCATAACTCATGAACGAGTGAGCCCTTCAGACACACAGATTTTTATACGTACTTCTATTTGTTCACCTTGCCCATCAGGTTCGTCTGTATCAAGGGCTGACAGCTCCAATTCGATGTCTCGATCTGGCTTTGTGTCTGCACAGTCTTCAGTATAATCAGTCTATAAACAGAATTAATATGTTCTGTAAATATCAAGTTGGCTTTTCAACTGCTTCACACAACACTCAGCTATTGAAGTGGAAACAGAAGATGCATTTCTAAGACACAACATTTCTACAATACAAAAGAGCTAGTCAGACACAAATAGAACGTCAGGCACAGGCAACATAGGATACCAAGCTAAATCTAATCACATTAAAGTACTGAAACAGAGCTAAAACGAATACTGAAGTAGAAGCTTCAGTAGAGTCCATTGGTAGAATGTTTACATTTATAACATGTACAAGTAGAATGAAGAGCAATGATTGCATGAAAAGATTGTTACTTTCTTCCCATTTTGTAAATGGACGACTGGAGCAGCAGCATAGCAGGTGCACCTGCTTGATCTCAGGGAAATAACTTGCAACAACAATGACTTAACTTGCACAGAATACATTATAAATATTTGGGAATGTTGAAACCAAGAGTTTGAACTCTCAGCTAAAATGCACGCACTTATGTATATATAAAAAATCTCAAAGATTTCTTTCATCCCAATTACCCCTTTCTTTACCTCACCATTCCTCAAATCAATTTCCTTGCTTAAAAGATTTAAGGTAAGACGACTGCCTTCATCTAGAGAATTCCACTTCTGTTGCATGGCTAGTGCATTTGCTTCTCTCTGAAGTAATAAAGAGTTACTTTTGGCCTGTGGAAAGAAACATACCGTTACCAATAACTACACTTGAACCATGTATTGTCAAGTGGCAAAATCAACTAGCTCACAAAAAGAACAGTTCTCCTGCTAGATGGGTAACTCTGCATCCCTTTAACGCACAGCAGTTATTTTGTTCTGCACTTGCTGACATGTATCAGGCCCACCACTTTCTCCCAAAAATAGCCTTACTGATGTTGATGGAACAGCTCATACTAGCAGCCCCTATGCATCATACTAAGAACTGCCCTGCTAGGTCTAGTTAACCTTATTGATCATTTTGTCAATTGTATCATTTTCTGTAGGCTACACCAAGAAAATTTATTTTAAATCACTTCACTAAATAGCTTTTTTTTTTTCCAAACTGATCTTACCTGCTGTAATTCAATACTCAATAGATCTCCGGTGCTGGAATGCTTTCTGTGACCAGACAAATCTGTAACTATGAACCTGTCCCTTTAAGAGAACGGAGGCAAAATGAAGAATTAAAAACAAGTTCTCTAAACCAAAGGTCTCATAAACTTTACATTAGTCTATCAATGTTAGATATGCAGACAGAAACGACATGACCAAGATAACACGCTCTTCATCTCCATTGGGGCTCACGATACCCCAAGGCATTACACAAAGCAAACATCCTTATTTTACACATGGGTACGATGTGGCAGGAAAGACTTGAGAGAAACTACTCAAGATGGCAGATTTTGACACAACAGCGTGGCAGCACCTGACTAATTCTTTGGTCTCTCAAGGGATATGTCGCTAGTAATTGCTATTATTAGCTGCCTTAAGTATAAGCAACTACACAACTTTTAACCTATTTTTTCCAAGGCTTTATGATGGACAGGAAAAAAAACCCTTTTACTTTAAAATTAAGAACGTCTATTAATAGTTGCAGAATTTTCCCCCCCGTATTCAAGATTTTGAAGAACAGCAAGCTATAGAAAATGCTTTTAACCAAACACAGAGAAGCAGGCCATACCGTTCTGCGTAACGTGCTGACGAAGCAGAATCCGAGCCATAGGCACTCCATCTGGAGTCGACAGCATTGACATAAGGGACGTAATCTGAAACAAATTAAGATGCTCTTCGTTATCTTCTCTGTTCTTAAAGGGGGATATACAGGTATTTTAGCTCTCTGCACCTTCATCACTTTGGTGAGCAAGAATAGGATGAAATGCTCATGATTTATGCTGTATTGTCATATGAAGGCTGTACTTGTACCTGATACACTGATGGGCTTAGTAGCACTTCCTTGGGAAGCAGTGGCCTGAATAGGATCTGTCGTGTGATAACCTGTGCGGGATGACCTGGAGATTGCACCCCACTTGGAGATGATCGGTCCATCACTAAATGGGATTATAGGATCTTCTTCCTTTGCCCTTCTCTGAGTTTCAAATAAATGCACTCTCCTTTTAACATCCCCACTGTCCAAATCCTACAGATTTAGGAGACAGAAGATACATGGACTCATTTGAAGTTATTCAGATTCTTCAGCTGGCCAATAACTTTGAGTATTGCTGCTGAATACAGAGCCAAGATGAGCCTCGTTGATTTAACTATTGCCCTTTAATAGCAAACTGACCATGAGAAAGCTATTGCCAGAGCCAGAAGAAACAATTTTGCTCTTCCAAGCTTGTGTTTCCAGGTAGAAAAAGTTGCAGTATGCTTTAAGGTCCTTCAGAAGCCCTTCCTATACTTGAAGGAGGCAGTATCAGTGAGATGAGGTTTGGTTACACTTGTTTCATAGAACATAAAGGTAACCTGCTACACTATAGAGCAGAACATCTCCAAAAAGCACGAGCTCTTAACTCTCCAGAGGTAAGCTGTATTTTGTGATTCATACTATGTATTTTTTGTTCTATAAAGTCTTTCAGTTTGCTTATTTTTTTTTCCTCAAATGGAAATTGGGTGATAAAAAATAAGTTGTATCTTATTTTCACAGATTTGTTGGCATTAAACTGAATGTGCCTTCTAACCAAGTAAGAGGTGTAGTCTAGGAAAATAGTCCATCTAGATTGTCTGTGGGTACAAAGCAGCCAAGATTAAGTTCATGCTGATTATCCTGGGTCAACAGTATTTCAACTTTTCTCTGTGAGTTTATATTGCCCTTGGGATTAACTTCAAAGTAAAGATTTTCCGAAACAATGACAACATAGCAAACCTTAGAATCCTGAAAAGGCCAGTGATTCATTGATGCAGGATGGACTATTGCACTTGAGTCAAGTAGGAAATGTATTTCTGCAATGGAAACACCTGCTCTGAACTGGTCACGATGGCTCTGTATTAACCAGTCAAGCCTGCCACTACAAAGTATTCTGAGACCATTTTAGATGCCTCAGAAATTGTAAGGATGTATGTGTACACAAATACATTCATATAAAGAACTCTGAAGAGAGACAAAAAATTAAGAAGTCAACAATTTTTTATCCCATTCTAATAATCAGAGAACACACTTAAAATTAATGAATTCTTATCAGTGTACAGACCATCTGCTCAAAATATTTTGGCTACAAGTTTGATTTACAGAGATCTGTTATTAAAATAGCTGTTTCAGACATCTGAGAATTTTATTCATGCCACTACATTCTGTCACTGAAGTAAATACATTGTTTATTTACAAAACTGGGAAAAGATATGCCCAACAACTTCAAATGGGCAGAACTATTTTAAAATACTAAGAACAGAAGCTATCAACTTAAAAAAAACACAAAACAAAAAAAGGCTCATTTAACCAAACAGAACACACTTCAGCAGGTAAGTATCATTACACTAATGAGATCACATGCAGAAAATCCCTACCATTAGCACGGCGTTTGAATTGGCAATCACATCCTTGGGCTCCGAGTCGATAGCGTTTATACAAGAGCCAATAGTGCCACAAGACCACGGCGAGTAGTGAGAGAGATGGTCTTCCTCAAATTTAGTTCCACTCAAATCACTGACACTCTCTGAGAACTATGGAAAAGGGAATAAATAGGCAGCAAATAATAAAACCAGGGAATTCAATCTCAAAATAAGAAAATACATTTATTGCTATTTAATTAAATTACCTCAGAAGTCAATCAAGCAGTTCCAGCCATATTCAAGACTGGACTCAGGGACAACATAATCTGTTCTGTCAAATTTTAAACCAGTGCAGCTGACAGCTGTCACAGAAGGGCAAGCTTTGCCACTACAAATAACTGCTTGGTCTGCCAAGACAAGACTGAAATGAGCGTCACTATGTTAGCGGCAGGTTTCCTCAGGCAAATACCTACAGTAATTAAACCGAAAGGAAGCCACAAGCTTTGCCTCTACAAATAACTGCTTGGTCTGCCAAGACGAGACTGAAATGAGCGTCACTATGTTAGTGGCAGGTTTCCTCAGGCAAACACCTACAGTAATTAAACCGAAAGGAAGCCACACGTCTTCCTTTAATGTATAAGACAGTGGCAGACAGAAGTATGGCTTAGAACCCTCCAACCTGGATGAAAAGGACTCAATGCTGATCTATCTACAAATAACTGCTTGGTCTGCCAAGACGAGACTGAAATGAGCGTCACTATGTTAGTGGCAGGTTTCCTCAGGCAAACACCTACAGTAATTAAACCGAAAGGAAGCCACACGTCTTCCTTTAATGTATAAGACAGTGGCAGACAGAAGTATGGCTTAGAACCCTCCAACCTGGATGAAAAGGACTCAATGCTGATCTACCTTGAATGCACTCTTAAGGTACTTCAGGTACACCTACCTTCCAAGGCTTTTTCTGAATAATCAAACACCTCAAATATGATCGATGGAACTGTCAAACTACAGTAAAGTGCTTGGCACAGTGGTTCTTAAACTAGTTTCTTGGATGCATTTAATTGACACATGGAAAATAAACATCAAGATTTTTTGTTATTCAAGAGCACACTACTCCTATTGAGTTTCTGTTCTTGCTCACAGAACGTATCGCATATGTACACAACGTTCTACCAACGCCTTTTGCCACTTCTAAGGGACATGTATTCTCTGGGACTTGACAAGCATTTGCAGCTTGATTCAGTCTACTCATGTCATAATGCCACTTGGAGTATAAAAGGGAAGGTGCTTTTTCTTTTTCCTTAATGGAAAACAATTGTTGCTCCCTACACAAAAACCTGGAGGTTCACCAAAGCTAGTTCAAAAAAACTACATTTCCTTTAGTTTGGGCAAATTGAACCACTTCACTTGACCTTTTTTCAGCAACCATGTTTAGCATCACCTTAATATCAAACTAAATGCATTCATTCTTAGACATTACTTTCCTTTTGCTAGAAAATTAAATTAGTTTTAAGAACAATAGATGGCAGGTAGAAAATCTTTACTAGAAATATTAAACAGCATCTTACAGAAACAGGAGGGGAAAATAAAGAAGTTCTTTGGCTTCCCACCTCCGTACTGAAATCTACACTGAAGAGAGGAGAAGGTGGTGTTGGAGATGGTGTTGCCATAGGAAGGGTGGACGATACCAGAGGAGTTTTCTGTGTGTGGTACTGCGCCCATTGCTCTGGCTTCCGTCTCAATTGCTCGTCATAACCAGTCTTCAAATGACCACAAGGCTCCTGGCAATGATAAATACAGGAATGCATATTCTATCATACTCTAATCAAAAGGTAAATACTTGCATGGGACACACTTAGACCCCCAAATTCCCTTGGTTCTGTAACCTTCCACTGATATCACTAGAAGAATTTCACAAGGATTTTGGGGAAAACCTGGCCCCTAAGTATGCCAGGTTTTGGGGAAAACCTGCCAAACCTAAGTATGGCAACTTAAATCTTAAATATGTAACTAATTCAGGCAACATGCATGGGCATTAAAGAGGCAGAGGTGCTCTGGTCCTAATACAGATTAGAGTGGTCTATTTTACAAGCCCATTGTATTAAGGTTAAAAACAAAACAACAACTTTGTCCAGGTCACATGTCATGATCACTGTAACCCCGAACAAACAGAAGAGGTCTATGCTAATTATTTACCAACTTCAGTAACGACCTTCAAAACCAAGACTACATCCTTCCCTTTCTGGCCCTCACTTACCCTTGGTAAAGGCACAGTCCTCTGTTCGTTTGGAGGTTGACAAGCCACAGAGTAATACCCATCCAAAGAGTTGTATCTCTCTCGTAATGGCTGATAGACAGATGAGTGCATCACATCCATGGGAGGTAAAGAATTGCTCCTAATAATATCATCTCGTGGGTACATCTGCGGGCGCCAGATGCGCCTGCTGTCATAAACGGGAGCATACATTCCAGAAGGGACAGGAGGAACTGGTCCATACGGCTGCGGAGGAGGAGGTTGGTAAGGAGAATTCAGTCGATCTCGAGGGGAAAATGTACTGTAATGATCGGCATATGGCACGGAAGCAGGTGGGAGGGAGGACTCTGGAACGTTATTGGACCTCACAAAGCGAGGAACACAGGGAGCCACACCAGCTGGTACTGTTGGAGGTGGTGGATAATATCCTTAAAAATTGGAAAAAGGCATATTTAATGTGATCAAAAACGACCCAGAATTTTACACCTTCTAAAACTGTAAATAGTGTTGATAAGTACCTTTAGAGAAGAGTCACACTTTACAAACCTGTTACTGACCCGTCATTTTTCTGTGGCACATAATTTCACATATGACAACAGTATTTGCAGATGTAGTGCTTACCCTTTACCACCCTGACCAAATTGGAAAATGGAGTTTCTCTGCTGTTGCTCCTATGTACTATGGTATAACTGAGTAACTGAAAAGACAGCATCTTAACCACTTCTTTATATAGGAAGTTAAAATAGTTACTGCTACAATAAAAAGCTACATTGCTAAAAAAGAAAAGTAATTCCAGAGGTCCATAAATCACCATTTCACACTTGGGTTATTCTTTTTCTTTGGAGAGGACTGCCTGAACACCTTTACCTTTTGCTTTGAGAGTTTGTGAATGACCTGACACTAGAACACTTGTTTGCTTGAATATAAAACACACATACTGCAACCTAAACAGATGACTGAAACCTTTCAAAACCATTGGCGCAAGCACAAAGATGTGTAAGTCCCACAGTGGAAGCATTCTATGCCTCTGGGTCTGAATCCTGCCTATGGATATCCTCACGGGTAGGGCACGAGGTGAGCAAGCCTAAATAAATGCATTTAAATGCTAACGAAGGAAAAAGTAGATGAAAGACCTTGAGGTTCAAGTTCTTCTGCAAGCTGAGGTACCAGTTGTGTAACATGTATCACACAAAGACAAGAACAACCAACACTGGGAGCAAACTACAGGTCCCTCCCACACTCAACAACGGACCAAATTAGTATTTTGTTAAGTGAAGATTCAGCTGATATTTAAAAAAGAAATTCCACGAAACCGATAAAAGTTATTTCTCAGCATTCGGGCTTATCTAGAGAAAAGTTCAGAGATGCTTTTGATTCAGTGTTCATCTCACTCACCTGTCTGCGGGTACTGTGGAACTTCATATGACAGCTGAGTCCTGGGATCTTGGAAATATTGAACATTATCAGAATGTGGAGGGTAGACAGGTACTCTGGGAACAAATGGGCTGGATTTTGGAGGCACAGAATTAACTTCTGTTCCAATATTAGGAGGACCAGCTGAGGTAGCTGCTGCCTGGCTTACAGGAGTCTTGGGTGGAGAACCAATTTTACTGAAAAGGATTACCAAGAAATCATTAAGCAGATCTTTATTTATTTCAGTTAGTCATCTCATCGCGTACGCTCCCGTGTAACGGGGGAATTTGCGCCACGTCACTTCCTCCAGAATTTTATTTTTCATACCCCAAACTGATACCATTATTACATCTCAGACTTTCTCCTAAGAGAACTCAAAAGTGGACGCAAATGTTTTGGCATGAACCCAGAAGCTTACATATCACTCAAAAGTGTATTCTGGGAAAGACAAAGGCTTTGAAAAGTTGTTTAGAGGCTCAGTGCTTCCTGGAGAAGTGTCTAAAGTTTTAAGGGAAAAATCCCCAAACTAGAAGGTTTCCAGGATTAAGGGACTACGCACTACATGTGCTCTTTCTTGGTTTCAGGAAATGTCAAATTTCAGTGCAAGTTTTTTGTTTTATGTTTACCTAATAACCCAATAGTAAGAAAGACACCAGGCTGAGAACAACCGAATGAAAGACAGAGATTTACCATTTTATCTATATTGCATTGGAGTACTCAACAGCTAAACCCACCAATGCTGGCTCTGACAACCTGAATCCACAGACTCTGTGTGATGATATCTGCACTGCAGTACAAGATCTTGCACAACTCTGCAGCCAGTGAGCACCAGCAACAACCGCAAGCCAGGACCAGAACTCAGTATCTATTATTCACCATCCACACACTCCGTGATAAGCTAAAAGCAAAATGTTGTGCTTAGTTATCTTCATGAAAAAAAGCTACCTACTTTTCAGGTAGTGATTCTGTAGGGGACCCAGAAACATTCTGGCCATTGGCTCCAGTCTTCCCTCCCTTCTTGGTGTTCTCCAAAGCTCTCAAGGAGGTATCTGCACAGCGAGGGATCAACTGGGGAACACCACTTTCTAGATTAGCTATTCCATTAGTACTTGGTACCATCTTTCCTGTTGCTTCAGGGCTTCCTATGACAGAAATTACGTTTCCTGTTGTGGTTGAGACAGTGCTATTTACGCCAACTTTATTTAGAAGGGGGAACGTTCTCACTGTTGCACTGATTTTTTTGTTCCTCAAGCGATATCTATAAACAAACACATGTACAAATACACAAAAGAGATTATTTAAAAAGTGCTTATTGTGCAGTTTAATATGTTTGTAAAACCAGCAAAAGGAAGGAATTGAGAGGAACATCATATCAGAAAATTACAGAACTTTAAACTGGTGCTTATTTTCAATAATCTGTAAACAGAACACTAACATCTTCCTTGTAACCAAAGATCATCTCTCCTCTTAGAGGATCCACTTCTGTAGTTCTCTGAAAATGGATTTGGGTGAAAACAGCTTCAAAAAAGGATACACTACATACTAACTAAATAACTCACTTTATTCCTTCATCAATCAAAATGTAATTAATATTATCTCTCCTGTGGGTGATATAACCAATCCCTGACAGACACAGCCTAGACTCAGTTTCAGAAAAGGAAGTTCTACTTCATATGGGGTAAAATAAAAAATGTATCTGGAATTAGTTTACAGATACTGCTTTACTGTCCCTTCAATTTCATGTAAAGAGTTGTCACTTCAAGAGATTCACAAATCCTTCTGAATGAATAAATAAATGTACAGAAGAAACTGTTTTCAAAATTCTATGGAGATTGCTTGGATTTAAATTGAAAAGAAGAAAAAAGAGAAATGTCTCCCACACTTACTTTTCAAGCTCTTCCTGAGAATGAGCAAATGTACAGTTTGTTCCTCTTGGACATCCCCCTTGCTGTCGAAGGTCTCGGCACATACTTGTTTTATATTTGCTATTTGGTTGTGGCTTAAAAAAACCCAAAACAACACAAGACATTCCACTTACCATCTAATAGACACTTATACAAAAATAGGCTAAAAAATACACTCACAGACACATAAATCCATTATATGCTTTTACATTTTGCATCATTAATCAGAAAACTAAAGAAATTTCTTGTTGATGGGCTAAGTACTATGCCATTGTACGGATCTCAACAGCAAGCTCTGCTGCAATCCACATTCAGAAGCGTTAAGTTCTCAACACCTGAACACAGTAATTAACAGTATAGTCAGTTATTGCACAGCAAAGACTATAAATACCTCAAATCAATAGTAATTTTTCAAAGTTGAATCTTTCAGTAAATGTACATTAAGACATACAATGCAATGATTGAATATAAATACCTGTGGAGTTTCATGGCCTTTTCTACTGTAATTCTGAATGAAATCCACCAGTCCATGTACTACAGTTTTTACAGCGACCATTGCGTTTTCCAGCTGTTCCCATGTTGGAGATGCTGCGTCTAAAAATCATTAAAAGCAGGCTTGTCATTCTGTCAATAATTCCAGCAGCATCCTAAATAAGAGGCAACTCTTTTGGTACTTCAAAACACCAAGTACTAGGACAGACCTCAGAAAGCCCTGAAGAAGAGTTTATGACATACTCTGTTAATTAATGGGAATTTCGGAATGAGGAATGGAGGTTGTCATATTAATAGTTTACTTTGCTAGATACGAAAAACACCAAGAAATGTTTTAAAAGCTTCATTTGCATACCTGGATTTGGATCTATGTTTGCCAGGAGCTCTAAATGAGGCCTCAGCCTGTTTAAGTTTGCAGGATCCCCCGTGCGCTGCAAGACAATTGTCAATTCTTGCACACTCTTTGCGAAAGATTCTGGAGACTGGAGCTGAAAACAAAGTGAGTGTTAGTGTGCTGTATCTTACAATTGTAAACTGCTCATCTTAAAAAGAGTTTCATTAAACTAGTTCCTAAATGCAATACGTAGTGTCTTCAGATGGCATATAGAGAGTATCAGTGGAGAGAAATTTCATTTCTCAGCTCAGAATCTGCCCTATGAAGCTTCATCATAAGACACAAAAAAGGGGCTTAGTCTTTTAACTACTGGAAAACAAAATGTCTTCATATGAAGAATACACCAGAGTGAAGAAAAAAATCCCTCATTCTAGTTTCAATTAATATTTGATATGAGTAAAGACAAAAAGTTTACTCAAGCGGTTCTTGGATTTTTATTATAACATTTAGTAGTCAAATCTAATCCTATAAAGGTACTAAAATCATCCCTTTTACAAACCTTGTCAATAATGGATTGCATGTGTGATTTATGTGCCAAGTCACCATAAAGAAGGGAAGACCATTGTTCTGGTGATATTCGAAGTCCTGCTTCCATGGCAATGTGAACAATCTGGGCATCATGTTCTCTCCGCAAAGCCTCGTAACTCCGAAACTCTTCTTTAAGTTGCATCAGAGAAGAATCTTCATCCCTTTTAGTGACCTAATAAATAGTAACATTTAAATACTCCTCTGATAAAAAAACACCCAAGTCCATCACAAAAGGACAGCACAAATCACAAAAGCATTGCTCTTGTATATTTAGCATATACTTTTCTTCAATGTATTCATCCACCCAGCTGGCAGTGCACAGGCAGAACAGACAGCTCTTCAAGTTTTTACAGGATCACAGGTGCAGAACTAAACCAACTCCACTACTTCCAACTAGGAAAGCAATCAGATTTGCTTAAGTCACAGCAGATACAGTTATTTAGTAGTTCTACTAGTAGTTTTCCTACCCAATATTAAAGGATGACTAAGAATCACAAGAGTCTAGAAGTGACGTAAATAATACAAAGAAAAAATTAAGATATTGCCAATTTAATAGAATATTTAACTGAGAGCCCACTATAAGTGTTAAGTAAAACTCTTCGGTTACGCAAGACATTTGTCATAAAGGGAGCAACAGGTCTCTCTATTTTAATGTGTAGTTTAATGATGTTATGATAGTCATGTTTTTAAACTGTGATTCAAAAAGAAAAAAAAAGACCCATGGAATTGACTTTTCACTCTTTTCCAGATATAAAGAGTTGGGAATACTCAGGTTAAACAATCCACTCCTATGTATAAAAAATAACGGGGCTCTTCAGTGCAAGGCAGCTAGATACAGACACACAAAAAACAAAGGAGAGAGAGAGAGAGAGAGAAATATGCTGGAAGAAAACATCGGAGCTCCGGCTGACAGCACTCTGCAGGTATAGCATCCTTCTCTCGTGCCCAGTTTTGGGGCTGGGGAAGTTCCCAGGACTACAGTACTCCAGAAGTTTTCTTTAGAATGCTGGAATTGAATTCTAAACTTTGAGAAAACCCAGGCCAGTCTGGCATGTCTGGCCACAGCCAATTCTTACGCATCTAAATAAAGTCAAAAGTGATTATACTAAAACATTTCACTTCTTCCTGAAGCAGGGCAGAGGTGCCTGCAGAGTCGGGTTTCATGCTCTTTCAGGGGAGTTAATGTCCAGATGATTGGCAGCAGTTAATAATGAAGGCAGTAATTTCAGAATTTGTTCTGGCTAATTCCACATGTGACCATTTGTTCCTTTTGCAGGGAATTTTAATTATCAAACAACTACTTCATGACAGTTCTAGATAAAAATCTTACAGTCTACACTACTTAAATGTGTAGAAACTGAATTTATGCAATATTTTACAGGTGAAATATACAAATCTTAGGTTGGGTTCTCTGGAGCTGGACTAGTTCACAGCAACAAATCTCGAATGTAAGTATTTTACCTTAAAGCATGACGCTCTATACAGTAGCTGCACAACATGACCGATGCTTGTTTTAGAGGCCTGGGGAAATCTTGGTTCTAGCCTTTGCACAACAAAAAGTACCAGAACTTTTCTTGAGAGTGCAGAGCCATCTTCCAGTGCCAGTAATACAAGTTTCAGTGCCTCCTCTTGCATAGCTTTAACAAACAAAAATAAAGACAGGAAGTGAAATATATTGCCAGAAAACAGCAAAGTTATTATATATTAACACAATAAATAGGAGCACGTGAATCATCTTGATTGTCATTCCTTATTACTTTTTATTTCACTAATGATAAGAAAAAAACCTTTGTAAACATTTTAAGAAATTTGATCATTTATAAGAAGTATTTAGAAGCACTCTAAGCACAGCAAACAGAGTTAAGATGAATTTTAAGTAATAAACACATCAGTAGAGCAGTTTTTACACTTTTCTCCACTGCGCAGTCTTGCAGTCTTTGTCATTTTGGACATCTGATCAATGCTACACCATGAAACTATATAAAATAAATATGGGAACAGTACAGAAACACTATCAGCAGTTACTGGAACCAAGAGAGGACTACTTCCATTTTAAACAATTTCCTTCTCATGTTTGTGCTTGCTTCAGCAGCATTCTTAACTAAGGATTTGCTGTTTCTATCAAAGGCATAAACATGACCATCATAAATTTTACAATTAAAGTACGCTGCAACTACAGTTAGGCTGATTGCATTTACAGCTGAAGTATGAACAAGACCACATTTGTGGTTTCCCATCCAATTCTAACCACAGGCAGCACCACAATCAGCCTCTCTCACAGTAACACTGTATTACAAACTGCAGAAAGCATGCTTATTCACTCTGCTTTGCCAGGACTTTTTAAATACCTCCTCGTAATCTCCAAGAATGGTTAATATGAGGGGAAAAAAAAAAAAACTAAAACTTTAAACCAGCAGATTTTAGTAACTTGTAGTCTTTTTTTCCCCTAGCAAGAAGCTGAAAAACAGAAGTAATTATGTCTTCAATCGAACAGAAGAAATATTCAAAGAATGTTTTTGTGTTAAGAAAAGGTACAGCTAAATATACCCTGTTGCAGATTCTACAGGTGCTTTACCTGGTCCTAGAAACTGGCATCCTCGTGCCCTGACAGCAGCCCAAAGATTGGCAGAAAGCTGCTGAGGATTTTGGTGCTGCAGGATGAGTTCTGTAACGGTTCTCTCTCCCAGTGACCTAGCTGCCCTCATAGCTCTGACCCGACCCTCTTCCTCCACCAGCTGACAATTCACCAGTGTCACAAGCTTCCTTTGCATTGGACGGCTCAGTGCACTCTGATTCAAGCTCGCAACACCTTCGAAGAAAGCAAGAAAAGACAAACTATTGCTTCTGATCTGAAAAATTTACCTGTATAAGACAAACAAAAATGTCTAATAGTACGTGTCTTTCTCTAGGACTTGGATAGTAGTCACAGGCATCTTCCCTTCTCTTTGGCAACTCTGTGTAATTCATTACCAAAAATAATGTTAAGTAAAGGTTTAAATTGACATCAAATTCACCCTTTGATGAAAGTTCAGCTTTAGTACAAAGTTAGCCCCAAGGAAATATTATTAAATGAAAAAGAATATTTTGTAAATTTATTTTTTTTTTTTTTAAATCAAGTGTCACAGGTGTGAATAAGCTTTTAAAGACATAAGAGAAAATTTAGTACAAAACAGGAGGATTATCCCATCGATGCCTAAAATCAGTGCTGAAAACAATGCTGTTAGAAGTAAGCTACATCGAAATTCCACTGCTCAGCAGACACTCACCTTTTCCTCCACTTAATGGCTTTAAGTAGAGTGCCAAATCCTCAACACATTTCTTTGCTACTTCATAATGTTTGTTCTCTCCTACATTACTCAACTTTACTGTCTGATGGTCAGGTACCTAAGAAAACGCAAGGAGGAGGAGAAGAATTACATATACTCAGCCGACCTATGTGATATGCCTAAGATGGTACCAACATCGCCACTATTAATTACATAACACTGCAGATGTACACTGCTTTTTAGAGAAGTGAAACAAAGGACCCACCCAAGGTATGTAAAACGTCATAAGAATAACAAAAAGGACTCGAAATGAGGATCAGGGTGATGAAAGACTATTTTTGTTAGTACTCAGCACATTAAGAAAAAAGTAAGATGGAAAACAATAACCAAGGACTAATGAGAAGGTACTTGAATGAAGAACACAAGATTTGAGAGGACGATCAGTGTACACAATCAGCATGATTTACTACAGAGACACGAGGGAAGTTATAAGACAAAATTAACTGGCTAGAAAATAATAAGAAAAAATTGAAAGCAAAGTTAAAAAATAAGCATAATTTGGGCATGCTGAAATCTTCAAAGAGAATAACTAGCAAACTTAACTTTGTGGAAAAAACTCAGAGTAACAAGGTCAGGCAATGAAAATAGGAGTATTAGTCACAATACATTAAACTGTTTGAAAGATGTTGCAAGACGTTAGGAGACCAGGCAAATGACTGTTGTAAGATCAAGGCAGTGATTTGACACAAACTTAGAAATAAAAAAAATGAAAGGAACATGTGAACTTGAGAAACAAAACCACTTTAACACAAATAGTGTTATTACCAATAGCTGTTTCAAGGCATATGATAAGACATTAAAAAGCAAAGTAAAAAGCATTTCCTTACTGCAGCACCCAGGTGTTACAGCCAGAGTAACACGAAAAAGCACATGAATCAGCATAAGGTGAACAGAGTTTAGTCTCCTAAAGCACAGAACTGATTATATAATCACTGTTTTGCCACTGCTACGAGACAGCACAGGGAACATTCCTGGCCTGATTAGCCAGTGTCTGAAAACGCAACTGAAAAGTCATCACCATGCATATTTTAAAAAAAATTACAGACACGCTTCTGAAACTTGGTTAGCCAGCCAGCTACTTTCCAACATGTGACGTAGAAATGTGATGAACGAGTGCAATCTCCAAGTTCACTCCTCTAATGATAACTGTGACAGGTAACTGTACTTCCTAATAGGTGTTTTTCTCCAGTCACACAGTTCAAGAGCCTTTTTAAACCAGAATTCAGCTTACAACTAGAATATGTTTTCATTTTATGAGAAGAGGATGGTCCTGAAAATGGTGTGGCTGCTTTTAGAGTATATACTGACTTGTAAGTAACACAAAGTTCAAGTCTTACCATTTTTGAGACTAAAACGAAGGAAAAAGGTCAGCACGCTTATTGCAACTGGCATGTAAACACTAACAACACGAAGTGGCAAAACAAAGAGCTGCTTAAATCGTACCTGGGCTCCAACTAACTGGAGGAGTGCAAAGTTTACGGGAAGCACGTCGATGTCTGTATTGATGGCAGTCTGGTCGAAAGGACATGCCTTGCGATGAAGCTTGTTCAGGCAGGTCTTACAGACAGTGTGAGAGCAACCTAAGCTGATGGGTTTGTGCACATTCTCATCAAACTCGTTGTAGCAGATTGGGCAGGACAGAAATTCTGTCCACTGAGCTGCCTGCACAGGCATTGTGGAAGCTGGACACTTGTTTAGCAGGCTAGCAGACCATTATTTCACTGTACTATGTTTTGGCAGCTGTAAGTGAATAACAGAGTATTTAAAACATGCCTTCTGGTAATTTAGAATGATTTTTAATTAAAACCCCACCATTTCAATATTCTACAGCATTAAATCAAACCCTTATGTTGAAGTACTCAAAAAACCCAACTCTGTGTTAGTTTAATAACTGTACCAAAAAAGGCTCATGAACTGAACTAACGCAGATGATAACAAGTTGAAGCCAAACCTATCCAGAATAAATGGCATTAAAGTTCTTTTCACAGGATCAAACACACCTTTAGCACAGGAACAGGAAGACATTTATTGGCACAGAAAACGTAAAGGCATGAATCACAGTAACCATCTCTTTCACTATCCCATCTAAGCTCATGTCTTCAAAACCCTGAAAGCACTCCCAGATTGTAGAATGGGCCTGAGATGGGGAGAAGACATAGAAATTATTTTTTTTTTCCTGCTGGACAGGGAGTCCAATTCAAATGGAGATTGCATTTTAGGCAGAACAATGCCTTCCTTCCGCAGATCTTATTCAGGCTTAGATAGACACCAAACTAAACACAGCTTTGCTTTTGTTTATTAAAAGACATTTTCTGTTTCTGTAAAAGACAAATCAATTAATAAAAGTTAAGAATCACAAGAAAACACTAAAAGAATGAAAGATTAGTTTTTAGTTTTATGATTCTCTTGTGTTACTTCCCTCTTTTCTCCCAAGAATGCACCAGAGCACTCAAGGGCAGAGACTGCTGTTTTGTTTTTCACCTCTCTACCTTACACAACAATGCAACTCCACTTCCATGAACTGACAGCGAGAAAATTTCTGATGTGTTAAAAATCCAGGTATTTAGGACAAAACTTATGATAAAGCAAGCAATAACTTCAGCTGGGTTGCTATCCTTCCTCTTGAAACATCTCACTCTGCAGTAGTACCACGCAAATCGCTTACATAAATGCATTCCAAAGAAAACATGGATGTATAGAAGTTGTTCTGAAAGATGATCCCTTGAAAAAGATAACAGGCCTCCGAAGTTCATGGAAACCATTCGTATTGAAGGTTTCGTCACGAAGATTTCAATTCACCGCTCCATCCAGGAGCCAAGCAGCCCCACCCTCCGCTGCAATGTGCAACCATGTTGACGTTCTGCGCAACCTGGAGACCAGTCAGTTCACTTCAAGGCAATGAACAAGCTTCTCCTAGCAGCTTGTTAGAAGTGCAAAACCAGGTCATTAAGACATTTGTGTATAACATTCTGTTTATTTTTTTTCCTTCAATGATGGAAAAAAGGTGACTGTTTTGAGGCAGTGGAGATCTCCCCTCTGCATTCGAATTCAGTAACTCTACACTGCAATTCCACTGTTGGCTGTGCTACAGTTTAATTAATGCTGAAGTATCGGACCATTGAAATAATTACCAGCACACCAAACAGACTCGATCTGTGGATGTATTTTATGTTAATTATGACCATCTGTTTAGAAATCCTATTTAGTACTACGAACATTCAGTGCCCTTTAAGTAACAGGGTACTTGTACAAGAAGTCCTTATCTCAGTGAGCTTTGCAATATTATGCAGCGATTCCTTCCCCAAGTGAATTTCCACAGTAAGTGTAAAACACGACAAAAAGTTGAACCTGCCCCTTCAAATCCAAACTGCTGCTTTTCAACAAAAGCCAGAATATCCACATGCATTGGACAAAACAGATTTTCATCCGACTTCTAGGAAGGCACAATCGAAGCTCTTGCAGAGATGAAAATAATTGCAGCCCCCTTTAATCTGCTCTTGCTACGCGTGTCTTTTAACCAAAGAAATGCAAAAGCAAAACAAATAATGGCAAAACCAAACAATGAGCCAACGTGCCTAGAAAGATTTTTAATGCCTCTATAAAGAATCCCACCATTTCCTTAGCTTCCCTACCAAAACAGCAGGACAAGAGATGCACCCAACTGCAGCCCTGCAGCAAACACTTTCCTTGGAGCTTTTTGCCAGCGTTCCCCGAAACGCCAAGATGCTGACACCAACACCAGACCCAGGAACGCTACCGTGGCTTTTTCACCTGTCGGAAAGCACAAACCACAGCACAAACCAGCTGACTCTGGCAAGTGTGATACTACCCTGACTCACACAGGGAAAAGTTTAGGAAAAGGCCAGTAAACACAAGGCTCCATTGCTAGTACGCTGTCGGTCACTAACAATCTCCTAATAAGCAGTCCCCGTTTCCACACTGCTCATTCATGATCCCAAATGCAGGAATCCCTGCTCTGAGACAGTCCCCACATTCAGTTTCCACAGAGACTTGCAAGAAACAGCCAACTCTATTTACAAGCTTTTAAAATATAGTAGTTTGTTTCCCTGATCAGCACAGAAACGAGAAACAACAGATTCTTAAAGTGCGCACCACCGATTTTTAAAGATCTATCTTTAGATATTTAGTCATCATAAATGACAGATTCCACAAAGCATGTGTTGACCTGCAGATTTCTCGACAGGAAAAAAAATTAATTAGATCAGCAAACAGCTGGGGAAGGCTCTCAACTCCTAAAACTTCAAGCCGCCATGCACAGAGGAAGCCTCCATCCTCCCTGAAGCACGCCAGCTATCCTGCCACTCCTGCGCTCCAGTGTGTTAAGAAAACAATCTCGCATCTCCTAATTACCGTGTCAACTTCTACAAAAAGCATAAGCCAAACGTTTAATAGATTCTTGCTCCTGTCACAAACAATGTACTTCAGGGATGTCCGCTTGAAAAACAAATTGCTCCAGCGCTCTAAACTGAGCAAACACAAGGAGCAGAGCATAATAAAGGCGGCAAACCAGGAACCAGTTTGTTTTTAACAGGCAGCACACTCAGTCACTACAGTCACCCTTGGTCTACCTGGCTGACATGCTATCCATCCCTGCACACACACAGGGCTCCTCTTCCTTGTCAAAGTAGAAGCGCCCTGCAAAAAAAATCCCAAAGAAATGGCTGACACAGAAACTAGCCAAACATACAAGGTAAATAGTTTGAAAAGACATGGTAGTTTTTACTTAAAAGATGTTTACATGTATAGTTACAATAAATTTTACAGTATTACTATTAGAAGCGATACTTCAGATGGCAAACTGAAAAATGCAGAAGTCTAACTTCAGAAATTACATAATAAATAAAAACTATTACAGTTGAGTAATTTTCTGTTCCTAATACAATACCATTTTCCCACTGCAGTTGCAATGGAGTGTAGTAACAACGATAAATGTCTGATTTTCTCATAATTTTAGACCACAATATTTGATGAAATTGGAAGGGGGGAGAAAGTGAAGCCCCCTAACCTTTCTTGAATAGCTGTACCATTTGCAAATGCTGGAAGTGGTAAGATTTAGATGTTCTTATTTTACATTAACTTTTAGCTACCTAATCCCATGACATTCTTTACTACTAATCCAAGTCATTGTACTCACTCAACAACCTTTGGACGTGATTAATTTAATCCTGATTTCCTAAAGAAACCAAGCTTAGCTGACCATGCTTTCTATTAGCCTGTTCCTCTCCCACATGAACCTCAGGATCCCTGGACCATTTTTGAGCAAACCTGATACAGATGCATCACATCTGAAACGTACATACGTTCCATGAAAGTTGGTATCTGGAAAAAGGTCCGAATTCACATGCTTCTCAGGAAAGGCCACAGCACCAGGCTCAGCAGTTATCCATCTGTTCTGCTTACTTTTCTGATCTATCAGCATATACCTAACCAGCCGACCAGAACCCAGCCAAAAACCATCACATTTTGTTCAGATATAATAAAGGGCTATTTGGAAGATGGGGACATGACACGAATCTGCAGGAATTCCAACAAACCTTTAAAGACAGAGAGCTTGATCTGCGAAGAGCACTGTTGAACGTTTGGTGCTTGGCCTCCAGAGCTGAGTCTCAGCACTCGTTAAGCGAGGCAAGGAGAGGTTTCAGAGCCCCACGGCAGGACACTGAGCCAGCGCGGTGGGCTGAATGCTGTCTGGGCTAGCTTAGAAATTCTGATAACAATGCTTTAAGTCTACCTTGATCCAGGGCTTAGAGGCTTAACACAAGAAGGAGATGTTGACTTCTCCACACCAGAAGTTAACAACTTCACACAAAAAGAGAGAAAAGGACATTCTTTAGTTAGTGGTGCTGGTGTTGCCTTACATCTTAATTCAGTGACTAGATTTGTCACCTACACTGAGATACAAATTAAATTACTTTTAACCCATGTTTTTATCTTACAAAGAAGCATCCAAACACATACATTTAGAGATGGGGCAATTTCAGTCCCTCCCCTTGAAGCTATTGCTCAGACACAAAACCACTGAATATTCATCAAAGACAACTGCAGCTTAGTATTCAGCTGCCCAAGCAGATGACTTGGATTTTGCTTCATTTTTAAGGATCATTTGTGCATTTTTACTCTTCAGTCATTGGATCAAATCTAGGTATTCTTCAAGCAAGGAACAAAAAAATTCAGTGCCTCCTCCCCAGCTACACGCTCAATTCCTAGGGAGCACGGGTCTCCATCTCAGAAAACTCTGAAGAAAAGAAAGTCAAACAGATTCAACACCAGGTAGGGAGCAGTCTCCTTCGAAGCTGCATGGTGCCCAGAGCCAAGGCACTGACCAAAATGTGAGATATGCAAGTTTCATCCCTTTTCAAAGGAAGGGCTGAAGGCTTCAACTTCACTAAGCAAACGGCTAGAGCAAAAAGAGAAGCAGCAGTACCACCGCAGCCATGTTTGTGAACAGAAGTGGCAGTCCTGTAGCGCTGCGTTAGGTCTGCTCAGCTCAGACCTACTTGGTCAGGTCCCTCACGGGACATGGGCGAAGGAAAGTCTACTAGGCAGAGCCCATACAAGAACACGACATGGAGTAATTCTGTCAGTACTAAACAAAGAAAAGTCCTCTCTACAGCTGAAGGAAAAACTCATGGGCTTATATGGCTTTTTCAAAAATTACGGTAGTCTAATTACCATCCCACTATGGATTTAAGTCTAAATCTTAGAATTCAATTGATTTTTAA